AGTTCTGTTTCAATGGCTTGATGCAAGGCTTCTGTGAGGGCCATCCCAATATTATCTCCAGGACCAGGATCCCGCAATTGACGCAATTGCGCATTGAATTGTGCGCGTTCCACTACATTACGCCAGCGGCGTCGTCGACCAATAGGTTGCATGATAAATTGGAAGAGAGGGCCTCGAGCGGGAACGGCTCCACCCAATTGTTCCCACTGGTCATAAGCGCGGTTCAATAGAGCTTCTTCTTCTTCATCACTGTCAGGATACCAGTGGTCCTCCGCCATGACGGAGGAGACAATTTGAATGTTCCCGCGCCAGACGCTGGCTTTTATAGACCCAAAAACACGTGATCAGATAAACAGGGATTGGTGGACTTGACTCAGGTGAGAGTCAGGTGAGACTCAGGTGAGAGTCCATGAAGGGGATGGGGAGGGGTTGATTAGACAGGAGGAGGATTGAGGGGGGTGCCCCCCATGGGTACAGATTTTTCCAGTCTCCTCTGAGCCTGGACCGAGAACGGTGATTGGTGGAAGGAATCTTAGATATAAGCCAACGTTCAGACCAGACGTCAGTTGCCATCGAGACATGCCTAATCGAGATCCAGATAAAGTGAAAGAGGCTAAACACCGGTGGTACCTGAAACACAGGGAGAGGATTGTAGCACAGAAACGGGAGAAGCGGGCGGCTCAGAAAAAGCTCAAACCGCCCAAGCCACCCAAACCACCTCCGACCCAGGAACAGTTGGCCAGAGCCCGCGAGTTGAATCGGTTGGCCTGTCACCGATACCGATCCACACACGGAGATCAAGTACGGGCACTCAACCGTAAATATTATCATCGACACCGCGATAAGATCGTCCAACAGCAACGGGACCGTCGTGCCCGAGCTCGAGAGACACCCAATCCTTTCCAAAAATTGCAAGCCTTGGCCGATGAGTGCGCTGCCCGTTTACTGGTGATTGAACATGGATACACCAGGATCGCACCAGCCCCCCAAACCAAGGAAAAAACGGGACCCTGTAAAAAACAAAGCGCAACAAAAAGCGTATCGGCAACGTCTATATGCCAAAATGAATGGAATGGAGGATGTCAAGGCCCTTCACCGTCGCCGCTACCATGAACGAATGGCTCGGTTGAAAGTCAGTGGTGAGTACGATGCCTTCAAAGCTAAAAAATCCCAAGAGGGCATGCGGCGCTACTATGGGATGACCAAGGAACAGCGGGAGGATGTCAAGCGTAAAAACGCCCAGTGTCAGAAAAACTGGCGGGAGAAAATGAAAGAGCGAGGGACCTACCAGGCTTATCTGCAACGGACCAATGCCCATCGACGAGAGCAGGCAGCCCAGAAAAGAAAAGAGTTGGGCGAAGAAGGGTGGAAAGCATTGCAGAAAGAACGGTACAAGAAGCGAATGGAAATCATTCGACGTCGAGAATGGTCCTGGTTGGACGAGGAATTAGAGCGTCCCTTTCCCCTCCCGTGGATGCCATTGGACTTGCCCCTAATTGTACCTAATGAGGACAGTGTGCATACCCTTCGCGCGGAGGCTTTACAAAAAATGGACTCGTACTTGTAAGAACAAAAGTTTAATTAAATCATGTGTATTGTGCTATTGAACATAGTGTCTTGTTTTTATGACTAAAGGGGGTTTACATGCCGAATCGAAGTTTAACTTTCATAATGCGTCTCACAATACGCTCTGTTAAGTTTTTACTACCGGGGAGTTGATCAATCTTGGCAATCATCTTGCGATCCGCCGCCCATTTGTCTTTCAACGTCTTGGCTTTATCATAATCCATGTCATGGGCTTTGGCAATCCTGTCCAACCGGTTGATACCGGGATCCCCACGGGCCAATCGTTTTTTCAAATGAGTGCCAGGGCCCATGTACTGATAACCAGGCCAATGAAATTCAATACCGGTCTTGTTGAGGAGGTTTTGCACATCAAATAACTTGCCGCCCCGTTGCGACCGTCGTCGTCGTCGCTTGGCTCGGGAACGGGAGGCCGCAGCACGGCGTTTGCGTCCCATTTTTTTAGGGGGTTTTCCACGATTTCCAATCCAAGGCTTTCTTGGCCCAACCAGCGGCTTTCTTTTTGGCGACGCCTGCAGCTTTCTTTTTAGCACTGTCCGCGGCTCTTTTGCGAATCCCGCGCTTGAATGATTGCGTAATAGTGTCTGCACGTTCTTTGGGGGTTTCCCACGGGGCTGTTCCAGGCGCCTCGGAAAAGGGCAACTCTTCCGCCAATTCTTCACTGCTCAACGGGGTCGTGAACTTGAGTTTCTTTTTGGCACTAGGGGTGAACCTTGGTTTAGGCGGGACAGGGGGTTTTCTGGGTCCACGCGTCGGGGTGCCTTGTTTTATACCCTGGGTAGCCTTGACCAATTGCGTGAACCAGGCTTGCATGGGGCCTGCCTCGAAATCATCGTCACCCGGGGTGGTGGCCCCGGCAGCAGTCACACCCCCAGCAGCAGCTCCAAACGGTTGGCGCACTTTTTTAGTCCAATGGCGTAATTGACGGCTGACGGCTTTGAGTTGAGGCCGTTTCCAAGCATCAGGGACATCACTGGTCAGAAGTACATGTTGTTTGGCGGCTAAATCGGCGGCTTTGGTCAAGCGGGTGTCTTCCACCAATTCTTGTTTGTACTGGTCTCGTAATTGTAAAAAAGCCGGGGCGTTGTTCACCGTGGTGCTGACCATCTCGGGTTCCATGGTGCAACTGAGGGGTCGGGTCTAGCGCATGCAACGTTTATAACATCGGTAGAGTTCCGGCCAAAGGGCACCCCCTTTTTGAGCCATCATGATAGCGCGTCGTCGTTTGACGGAATGAGCGGGTTTGGCCATAGCGCGTAAACTCTGAGCGTGAGGTTTGAGCAACGTAATGGTCTGCCGGGAACGGGGGACGGTGCCACGGAGGGTATTCATCACCAATTCACTGACAGCATTGATCTGATCCGCATTGGCCATCCGCAACAATTCTTGTCGTTTGTGTTGATTGGCTTCTCGTAAGACACTTTTTAAGAACGGGGCTTGACGTTCCATGCGCCACCCCATGATGAATCTTCAGTTCAGGCAACGACCAAGGTCTATTTATGGTAAAAATGGCGCCACACCGACCACACAATTCACCATGATAATGCCGTTGCATGTGATGTCGGCACCGGGCACACAAAGCGGCGTCATATTGGTCATCCCAATCCAACGCAAACGTGACGGCTTTGCGTTTTGGGCGTCGTTTAGTCTGGGCGTCGTAGTCGGATTCTGGGTTTGAATTTCCGGAGATACAAAGGCGAGAGAGCCATTGCCAACAGCGGGAGTTTAGCACCGCGTTGGCGTCCACGTCGGCGGCGTCGTATTCGAGGGACATAACGATGTCGACGACCGTTGGGTCCACGGACCATCTTTCAATTGACCCCTGTTCAGGCTCACGAAGGTCTTTTTATACATTTTCACATAATGGAACAATTAAAGGATTCCCCCGCGTATTTTTTCCGTTTGCCTGAAGCCACTTCTCGTCGACGTTTTTCGCCAATGGCGATGGCACGCTTGGTTTGATGATCCCCGATGGCTTTGGTGATCCCATAGCCGGCTTTGAGAATGCCTATAGGCAGGCCAGGCGCGACACCTCCTACTTGACTATAGGTCACACGCCGCGGTCGACGTCGTGTCGTCCTGCGTTTGCGTTTCCGTCCCATGACGACTCGTTTGGAGAGCGGAGCACCGCGAGTCTCTTTTTATACATTCACATCAAACTACACCCACCCACTTTTTTGGCATACCCCTTCTTGACCAACCACTTGTTGTACGAGTCCTTGGTACCACTCGCGCGATACTGGCGTTTGTAATTGGCCACTCGTTGTTTGTCGGCCTTGACGTCGGCTTTGGACGGAATCTTCCACATAGCTGGGTCTGTCAACAACTTGAAGCCTTTTTTGACATCCACCACGAACGGCGCCTTTCCACCCTTGATCCTCCGTCGACGTGATGATCGTCGTGTCGTCCTGCGTTGGCGTTTGCGTCCCATAGCGTGTCGACAACGGCCACACATTTTTTTGGGACAGGGGGAGAAAGGTCCCTGTTTTTATATACTACGACCTCGTCCACGGGCTCGGCCACGGCCCCGTCCTCGGCGTGGTGGTCTGGGTGGTCGTGGGCCGGACGTGCGGGTGGACGTGCGGCGCACCGAAGGTCGTCCACCCTCTTCGTAGACGGTGGTGACGGTATTAGTGTGCGTGATGTTGCGAATCCGTCGACCTCGAGCCCGTTCTTGAGCATCTTCATTGAGCAAATCCAATCGTCGCCTTAAGCCTCGCCCTCGATCGTCGTCATCGTCATCCTCGTCATCCTCGGACGGAGGGGACGAATCGGGGGACGGAGGGGAGGGCACCCTGGGGCGCCGTCGCGGTTGTTTGGCAGCCACGGTAGGGCGTCCAGTGGGGGTCGTTGTCGTCGAGGAGGTGGTCCTGGTCCCTGCCCCAACACTGCGGCGGGAAGTGGAGGGGCGGGCAGGGGCAGTGGTGGTCGTAGCAGTGGTGGTGGGGCGTGTTCGGGTGGAAGTAACGGGTCGTGGTCGGCTGGTGGTGGTGGTGGTCGTGGGGCGTGTTCGGGTTGAAGTGGTGGTCGTGGGGCGGGTTGGGGCTGCAGTGGTGGCGGGTGGTGGCGGCGGTGCTGTGCCAGTGCCTGCCACGGGCGGGAGTGTGAAGGCATTCAAGGCATCATCCACATTGACCGGGTAAGTCAAATTGAAATCCTCAATGTCTTGATTCAATTGGTCCCGATCCACGGGTCGAGACAATTCGGTCACCATGTCCGTCATGCTGCTGAGATCCCGAAGGACCGAGGGGGAACCTACCCCCGCGGGTGAGTGTGTATCCATGCGAGCGGCTAACTCAGTATGTTGTCCGCCTTCTCTTTGCCGACGAACCCTGGCGAGTTCGCGTTGCAGTTCGTTTTCGAACGGCAGGGACATCCGCACGCAAGGTGTGGACTTGGGCCTTGCCTTCTCGGGGCGTTAAATGACTCCACAGGCGGTAGCGATCATCCGAGGCTGGATGCACATCCAACATCAAATAGCCAAAAGGTCGAGCCGTGATGCGTTTAAATAGGCGCAACACTTGACGCCACCGATCCGGAAAGGCTTGCAATAAAATGGTCCGAATGCCTGTTTGATCCCGGGGGTTTTTGAAGGCCACAATGTAATGTGCGTTGCGATTGATGGTCTTGGAAAATTTGCCAGGCGGGAATAAATCTTGCGTCAAATACAACACCGTGATGTTACGATGATGCGAATCTTTGGTGAACAAATCCAACACGCGCTTGTCTTGTCCCCCTTCTTCCATCAGGTCGTCCAAGACCAACACCCGCCACGCGTTCGACCAAACCATTGCGTCAAATGACGGGGTCCGGTAACCCGCGATAAAATTGAATTCCATCTTTTGCTGCATCCGCTCGAATCGGGGTTGCCAACGATCATAGGCATACACAATCTTGCGGGGTTTGACTTGAAACACGTTCAGGTACCGTAACCATTGTTCCACCAAATCCGTCTTGCCACTGCCCGACGGGCCTGCGATAATCACACTGCTGGGTTGACGGATCATGATTCCCACGGACGAGGGTGACGTCGATAATGACCGGTGGCCCCTTTAGCGCCCATACGTTTATACCGTTTGTCGCGTCCCAATTTGTCCCCGATTTTATAGGCTTTGGCCAACACGCTCATGATGCCTCGTCCGTTTTGGCGAAAGCAGGGTCGTCGGGTGCCCTGTCGTTGTCGTCGTCGTCGCCGTCGTCTGCGGTGGGGCATTCTGTCCAATACTCGCGATACACACGTGGCGATTCAGACTGGATCAGGCCTTCCATGGTTTCTCTTAAATACGTTTCGCTCATGCTATCCATATACTGTTTGAGAGAGACCCAATCTTGGTCTTGCGCCAATTGTCGGGCCACTAACCAATGATACCCATCCCACGCGTCAATGCCTTGCACCGTGTTGACCCGCTCGATGGGGTGTTCCCACCAATACAAGGTTTCTTCGAGAATAAACGCATCCACAATACGCTGGACATCGCTTCGCGTAATCATCATGAGAGACAAATGACCACTCATTCACAACACATCTCGTTTTATGGTTTTTATTAACATGCACAAGGATGACACGTGATAAAGGCCTGGCGGCTTACATTCTTTTGCCCCCCATCAGGTCGGGCATCCACTTCATCTTGTAATTCCTGTTTAATCACCCGTTTCAACTGGTCGGCCACTTTATGATCATTCAACACTAAATTATCGCAACTCCATTGACTCAAAAATTCTTGATAGGACCGTCCTTGTGCCCGGGCTTTTAAGAAAAATAAAGCATAATGGCCACAGGTTTGACTATCCAGGGCTTGCAGGGTCTGGTCACTGCGCGTCAGGTACTTCCATTGACCCCACCATTGGTGCAACTCCGGGGTGGTGTACACGTGCAGGGGTAGACCATAACTGTCAAAGATCTCGCACTGGTTCTTTTCGGTCCACAGGCCCAACCAATGCTGGCCCGGTTCTCCCGCGGGGTCCGTGTTGACAATGTAGGCTTGACGGATCTCCTTGGCGGGGGATCGGGGGAGTTGGTCGGCGGGATGCACCCCATGAAACACGCGTCGTAATTCGGGGTCTTCCAAGGCCAGGGTCCGCAACACAGTGTCACTGAGTGCCACAAACTCCATGCTCGGTGTCTTTTGACTTCTGAGATGATTTCAGCCGTTGATGTTGTACTTTATACCTCCCAGATGGTTGATCTCATACATGTTTTCATACTCGCTCCATATCAAGACGGTGACGTTGTGTCCCACAGCCGCCGAAAAATCAATGATCAATCGCGTATTGCCCGATTGACGGGGGTTGCGATATTCAGGGTCATCGGCTTTTTGACTAGGCACATTGTTGAACATGAACAAGGTACAATTCTTGCCATTTCCCCAATCACCAGGCAGCAGCATGGGAATCTTGTTTTCATTGTAGGCACCCATGGCTTGTAGAAATCGATCGTAGCCCAGCAAATCTTCATAGGCTTGGTCTCCTGTCAATTGCAGGGTTCTGTAAGGGTATTCTTCTCCATTCAAGGTCTGTCGTACTTGGGTGACCCCAAACTTTTGAAAAGCAAAAGGGTATCTTTCCAGGTCTCCATTGAAGGCATCCGAATGCAATAACCCGACGATCACTCGATCAGGAAATCGACCCACAAACACATTGTCTTGTTCCCATTGGGTGGTGCGTCCATCAAAGGAAAAGGTGCGAATTTCACTCCGCACCACAGGGTAGCGGGCAATCTGTTTGTTCAGTTGTCTTTCTTTTTGCAGTCTGACATAGACAGCAGCATTCAGGGTCACTTTTCTCATCAACAAGGTGACTTTGATGTCATCATTGTGGATGGCTGGAATTTTCTTGGTGACTAAGGTGCCTTTGTTGGGGGAGCCCATCAGGTAGATGGTCTTGGGGTTGAGGAACAGTTCAAAGTCCATCTGGATATTGGGGACCAACAATTTGCCTGTATGGAGGGTGGGCAAATGGGGACGCACGATGAAGGTGTGCCAATTTTCACTCAGTAACTTGCTGGTCAGGGTTCGCAAGTCTGCATTGCCACTCCATCCTGCAGCCACAGGGACATCGGAATTGGCGGCGGTGGCTCCTATTTCTTCTGCTACATTCAGCTGATTGACCCATCCTTGGGGAGCTAGCTTGGTGGCTCCTTCTTCTCGGTTGTAATTCAGCAGGGTTTCTATGTAGGCTCTGTAATGGTAAGTGTTGCTCTGTTCGGTCACAAGGACGCCATTCATGCTCATGGTAATGTCTCGAAAGATGGTGTGGCCAAAATTGTTGACGCAGTAGACATGTCTGGTTTCGTTGGCATTGGAAATGAGTAGACCCGCATGCAGTCCTGTATACCCAGCAGCTGGATCGGTCAAGCGCACTTTGACTTTGAAGCGGAGAGAATTGAGATCGTAATAATCGTCAGAGCCAGGAATGGAGAAAGTGATGGGCTGGATGCCTGTCAAAGCGGGTTGAAACTCCACCTCCCGCGAGGCTTCGTACCGATAATCCACATCAGGCACCTCAAACAGTTCGAGCGACATGGTGCGATCTGTTTGACCGGGTTTTTAACGACGTCCTCTTTTTATACCTTTTCGTAGTCTGTGCCAATCATGGATGGGATGCGCGGCGGGAAAGGGGCGGTGCGGAAAATCGATTTGAATGCGTTTTTTCAATCGGCTAAAGACGTTGCCTCCTTTCTGTTTCTTCTGTTTCCGGGCTTTGGCTTGATTGGCCCACAACACTGTTCGGAGATCCCCCTTGCCCAACGCCCCAATAATCTTGCCCCCTTTCATGCGGCGCAGGGCCTGTTCCACCCTCCATCGAGCAGGATTGATGCCATCGGCTGCTGTGGGGAACCCCAAAGGATTTTGGCGCCTGCGAGTGAACTTGCTGAAAATCGTGCCCCCTTTCATCCTGCGCTGTAGGTAACGATCCAATTGGCGGGAGGACGTGTGCATCAGCGGATAACGCGCTGTAGTCGACTTGCCAAAGATCGTGCCTCCCACTTGATACGGTGAAATGAACCGTCCACGGGCCCGTTGCCGTCGAACGCGATTTTGCGATTTGAGAAAACCTCCTACACGTACCATTGTTTTCACAGTCCAAAGATGTCCCGTACACGTTGCGTGGCTCTTTTATAGGTATTTTGAGCGGTCCGTTTAACCTTGTGTTTCCCCGTCGTCCAAGCCATGGCGGGGGCTTTGCGTTTCAAGCCGCGACTGAGTTGGGCACTTCGATCCGCCCACGTGGCTGCAGCACTCTTGCCACGTTGAATATCTTGCAGTCCCGCTTGAGCTTGTTGCACGATCAAGGGTCCCGCGATTTTGATCAAGTCTTCGGCCAACCCTTTGCCCTCTTGCTTGGTGAGCACGGGCGTGTGGTACCGCGTTAAACTGCCTCCGCGCATGGTTCACGCTCGTGCTTTTGGACCTGCCAAAGACGTGGGGTGGCTTTTTTATAGCTGTTTGAGACCAATGGTCACCAGGGTTTTGCCGGGGGGTAAAAATGGCCAGGGTCCACTGGTACTGGCAATCTCCACTTCCAAGATATCCAATTGTTGGCCTCGTAGTTTGATCCATTGGTGGTGCAGGGGTTCGGCCGTACTTTCCCCATCGCCGGTTCTCAACAATTGCACTTCCCGTAACAGGGGATACTTGCCACTCCCCACCACGGTGGATTCGACCAGATCCGAATAGACCATGACGGTCCGTCTGCGGGTCCCCACGATCTTTTCAAACGAGGCATCCAGGTTGTTCAACTGCCATTCAAACGCAAGGACAAATGCAAAATCTCATCCATTCCACATGGGTCTTTGGTCACGATGACCAAAAAACTCGGCTGGGATTGTTGACCCCTCGTACACCACCCCTTCCCAATTGTAGGGCGAGCGATTCGAGTTTCCCTTTGGACGGGACCCGTGGTCCGAATCAGGTCTTGACGGGTAGAGAGTATTGTATTGCATTTGGGCCTATCAGATAATCGCTTGGTCTCGTTGTTGACCGTCTTGAGGCGCACCAACCCAAACTTGAATGCAATGTCCAGGTTGATGTAAAACTCCACCATGTTGATTTCTTGTTGTTCAATCAAATCCTTTTGACGGGAATCCTTCAATCACCAGAAACTCATTTTTCCAGGTCATTCGGGGCATGCCGTGTTTGTTTGACAAACACAATCGGTTTTTGGTCGGTATTCTTGACAGTTCACCCATTTGTTCTTTCATCACAGTGTACATGATTTTGTTATGTATGGTTTGCGCCACGCGTTTCCAAAACTGACCCTCGATACAATTTGAGTGGCATTCATGACATCTTCCAATTCAATCAACACCGGTCACCGTCCACGGTCTTTCAAATCGGCGAACTAGATGGGTTGCCCGTGTCTGTCCATTTGCGCACCGATTGCGGATACTCGTATCGGACCACTTTGGTATGCGGATCCGCGGCAATGATGGCATTGCTCTGGCCTTGATCCGGGACGGTCAGGGACATGAGCGAGGCATGCCAGCCTGTGCCCGGTAAGTTCAGGCGTTCGGGCAGACGGACCTTGAAACTGTTGTTGGCATTGTTGGGAAACTCGTCGGTCGGATCGCTGATGAGCGTCAAGCGTTTGATCTCACTCATGTTGAGGATGAAGATAAGGCACGTTCCCCAGGGTGCAGGGTCTTTTTATAGCCACGTCGCCACTTTCTGTTTACTGCGAGGGACGCGTCCCACCACTGAATTGAAGGTCGATTGTTTGGGATGAAAACATACTTGCTGGGCAATGTTGGGAAAGGCCCGGGCCAGTTCCATCAGGGTCATGCAAGTCTTTTGTTTAGGGGGTTTCTTTTTGCGCATAGGGGGATGACGACCAGCGCGTCGGCGATTTTTCTTGGGTGGGGACCGTAGAGCCCCTCGTTGCTTGGCATACTCTTCGGCTCGATGGTAAGCATTGGCGTAGGCCCATTGCTGTTTGGTAGGACTGGCCAACTTGTCCCACCATGGTTGGGTTTGCCGTTGTTCGGCGGCTTTCTTCTGGATGAATTTCAGGACGTCGGCGTCACTGGTGGGCGAGGGTGTGTAACTAGCTCGCGGTCGACTAGAATCCGCCAGGACTTCATCGAGAAACCGCACCCGCTTTTTTCTTTTTCGAGGCGTTATTTTGACGCGAACCATATTGCGCGGGAATCCAACTATCGTACTTGGCCGGCCACCCTTTCCACCGGACCAAGATCTGACGTCCTTTCCGTTTCAAGACTTTTTCGATTCGAAACAACGAGTCGTCCGATACTTGGACTTTTTGGACATCGGGTTCATAAAACGTGCCTTTTATAGGCGTGCCGTCCCATTCACTGAGTCGATAAGTCACCACGGGATGACGACGCACATGCGTGACCACAAACACTTCTTCCGTCCACCCCGGCAAATACCCTTTTTTGAAGGGACGATGTTTCTTGTTGAGACGTACCCGATCGCCCACTTGACATTTGGGTGGGGGGATCTTGGTCTTCAATCGGGCTCCATAGAGTCGATCCCATACCTCGGACTCGTTTCGAAAGGTGACTTGATGCGGCGCTAACCCAATACTGCGATGATACGTGTGATTGTAGGTATAGATCAAAGGTTGCAACACATCCACGTACCGTAACGTATTGTGCGCGGTGAAATACCGGTACATCCGTTGTTTCAAGGTACGATGCCATCGTTCCACCACCGAGGCCTTGCTATCTCCATAGGTGTAAAAATGATGCCAATCGTGTTTCTTGAACCAGGCTTGGACCTGGCGATTCAAAAATTCTTGGCCTTGATCCGTTTGCACACGGAGGGGTCGTCGTGGTGAGGCGCGTCGGCGTATGGCTTCCAACCCTTTGATCATGTTGGCGGCACTCTTGGATTTGATGGGCACGGCCCAGGCATACTTGGATAAGACGTCGATGACCGTCAACAAATATTTGTTCCCCTGATTCCATCGACTGAGTTTTTGCATATCCACTAAATCCATCTGCCATTGTTCGTCTCGGCCAAAGACCAACGTGGGGGTGGTGGGAAACCGGGTCCGTCGGGGTTTGTGGAGCGTATAGCTCAACACGGATTGAAGAATCTGTTGCGCTTGCGGGGTTTTCAATTTATGGGCTCGGGCAAAGGGTTGGACCCCACCCAAGGCCCCAGGTGCTCGGGGATCTTCGTAAGCGCGTGGCAACGACATCAAGACACTGACACACATTCTGAGTCCAAGTTTGTCTTTAATAGTTTTTTTCACCTACATGAATTTTTTTTCAAAACAAACACGAACTGCCAAAGTTCTTATGCAAATGGCGCCTTCTCTCAAATTCTCGCTCCTGGGCTTGGACAGACTCACCAAACTGTTTCAACCATGGATCATACTTTAACTTGTCTATCTCTGGGTTCGGCCTCTCTACAGCGTGCATGCCCCAGGGTCTCTCTTTCTCGGGGTCTTTCATAAGCTTGTGATGGAGCTCAGGGGGTGTGTCTTTCACCCATCGTCTCAGGGTCGGTTGCGCTTGTTCACGGGGGCACCACAAGGGACCATGGAGCCATTGAAAGTAGCCACAGGGGTCTCTCCCAGGGACAAAGCTCCCACAACTGAAAAACACTTTGTTGCGATTTTTGGCCGTGCGACTCAATTTCATCTTGGGAACAAACTCACACTTGCACTTGAGCTCTCCGTGTTTCAAACGGGCATGGACTTGAGGATGCGTGTCGTTTTTTAAAGCCTCCATCATTATTTCTCGCGTGTCTTCAAACAAATAGACTGGACACCCTGGTTGGGGACACTTGAATCTCAGGGGACCAAACCTGGCTTGGGGGTTGACACATTGAATGAATTGATGGGGATGAAACGGGCACACTTCATACAGGAGTTGGTTGAACTGGGTGTCCATCTGGTCTATGTCCTGGATGTCCCATTCTCCCACTTCGGTGGTTGGATCTGAATGAAACGTCCCTTCCTCGACACATTCTTCTTTATAGTCTTTCAGGGTGCCCTCCATCAATGCGTTCACGGATTGATCGGTGGGAGAGGGTGTGGGCACAGGCGTCGGGTCCACTGCTTTAGGCAAGGCATTGAGCGCGATCACTAGTTCACTGGTAGGGGGTTGTTTGGCTTTCATCTCCGCGAGTTCTGCTCGGGAAAACCCGAGCTCGGCCATCTCCTGATCATGATCCGCTTTCATCTGTAGGGCTCGCGCTTGGGCTTTCTCCTCCTCCTCCTCTTGTTTTTGTTTCTTACTGATGCGACGTCGTTTGCGTCCCGAAGGCACTGCGGCAGGTTGAGTGGTTTGACGATTCATCTGGACGAATGAGTTCCAGGGAGCGTCTACTCGGCCTTTTATAGCCCCTCCTCCTGCCTCATGTGATGTCCCTCGTGATGCTCATACGATCTTTTTTCCACCAATCCGGACTCGTCCTGGGATCTCGTGAGGGTGGTGTGATGTGGGTCTCTACCAATCAGCGACCACTCTAGTGGCTATAAAACCCGCGAGGCATCCAACACCCCTCTCATTCATTGCAGTCAAATCAACACAGTAAGTATGACGCTCCAT